GGGGTTAGAGGAGAGAGCAGAGACCCAGAGAAGCAAAGTGACCTCATCAAGGTCACCCAGAAAGTGAGCAGAAAAGCCAGGAGCAGAACCAGAAGCAAGTTCTCCCAACCCTTCTCTACCACCCCTGCTTCTAGTGAACTCAGAGCTCTCTACTGCTCCGGGCACTTCCCACAGCTGTGATGGGACCACTGCGATGGCCTGAATTGTGCGAAATCTCTCTCCCCTGGCAATGCCTCCCTCTAGCCCAGCCTGCCAGGGAATGCGTGGCTCTCAAAGACAGACAGACAGACAGACAGACAGACACCAAGCAATAATAAGGAGGCTGCCATCTCCCTTGGTAGATCCCAGGAAAGCAGGGCTGGAAAGCAAGGACCTCAGGAGGTCAGCTAGACCAGCACCCTGCTCCAGGCAGGACCATTGCTTTCCAAACCATCCCATACAATGGCTCATCTGACCTATCCAATCCAGTGGTTAGTTGCCCTCATTGTTAGACACCTGTGTCTCCTTCCAGGCAGAGAAGCTGGGGTCTCTAAGGCACTAACTGAGAGGCGAACAAGCACATTCAGCTTTCAAAATGGCCTATCGTCCAACTGTCATGCCCTGGTGGGCTCTGTCGGCAGAGTTATCGGCTCAGCAGCTGCTCAGGGGACTTACAGGCTTCGTACTTGCTCTGGAGGATGGCAGAATGCTGAATTAAGTGGCAGCCACAGATCCATCCAGATCACAGCTCTAAAACGTCTCCCTTGGGGGATGCAAAAAAGAGCTGGAGCCACTACTCCGGCCCATGGAGCACAGGGCTGGGCCTCGCCTGGCCCCGAGGTACAAACTCAGCAACTTGCATCCTCTGCCCAGCACAGAGGTAACTGGACATCACTAGAAGCAGAGAAAAAGTAGCTCCCCCTCTTCCCGCCTTTTTCAAGCAATCACCCATTTCAGTGGCTTGCTGGAAGCATGCCGACATGGCCGTATTTTATGAATATGGCTGCACGCGCCTGGCACCTTGCATGCATGAGCAAGGCCCCTGAATCAGCAAAACTGTGACATTGGCTGAAGCAGCATCTCAGGCTTTTCAGTGTGGAAATCTCTGTGGCTGGACTGAATCAGACACTGGCGCAAGGAGAGAAATGGCATCGGGTTGACTCCAGACGAACGGCTGATCCCCACAGAGCCTGGGTCCCCAGGATGGGGAGAGAGAGCCATGGGAATGAGAAATCCCCAGCACCTCTGACTCAGGGGATTCCTGCAGACAGCGCCTGCATTCTGACTTCATCCACATCCCCCATCCTATGATCATACTGCTCGCCTGCTGCAAGGGAAGGTCGTTTGTAAGTGCACCCCTTTCTAGACCCCTAACTCTTCCATTATTTTACGCTTAAGACAAGCCATGCATTGAAGTCACAGCAATCAGTACCAGCAGTCTCAAGCATCCCCACCCCCCCAATCCACTCTTTCAGCTCAGCTCCTCAGCAAAATAAGCAGCAAAACCCACAACAGACTAAGAGCAAAGCACCTGTACCCTCACCTGCTCACCAGGTCCCATTTCTCTGGGAAGCAGGTGGTTGTATTCACTCCCAGAACAACTTCTAGTAAACAACTGGCTTTGTGAATGACTACACCAGTCCCAGGAGAAGTCCCACCGTGCTAAGCCCGAGACGTGCTGACAAGTCACTTGGGGAAAGCCAGACTGAGCCATGACCTGTCTCACCCCACGGTGCTATTCCTGGCCAGGTACCAGGCAGGGCTTGCTCCCGGCAGGTGAGTTTCTCTGTTACTCTGATTTCTCCACCCATAATCAACAGCCTAAAACAGGGGCGAGCAATTATTTCAGGTGGAGGGCCGCTTACTGAGTTTTGGCAAGCCATCAAGGGCCGCATGACAGGCAGCCAGGGGCAGATAAATATTAATTTTCTAAATTTTGTAGGAGCCCCACACCCAGATAGAATGGCCTGGCGGGTCTCATCTGGCCCACAGGCCGTATTTTGCACACCCCTGGCCTAAAATGTTCAGCAGCTAAAATGAACTTTGAGATGCTCAGCTGAGCTTGCTCTCTAGTCTCAAGCAATTCAACCGAAGACAAAAGTGGGGGTGGGGGACTCCTGGTAGGGGCTGACTGGAGACACGCCAGCTATGTTGCAACACCCAATGTAATCGGCGCCAACCACTGAGAACAGTCAGGGTAATTATGATAACGCTGTGCCCTTCCACCCTGCCTTCCAGCTGAGACCTGCAGAGCACTTAGGTCTCTCCCATCCTGGAAAAAGTATTGGTAGAAACAAATCTAAAGGCAGGGAAATGAAGGCTTAGGGAGGATGACTTGCATGGTATGGGACAGGCAAGCACAGATCCCCAAACTCAACTCCTCATCCTTTACTGCAGCCACAAGGGACCATTCTCCCACATGCATGTGTGACCGATGCTGTGGATCATTCAGACTAATGCACTGATTTCACAAATGTTATAGATGTTGTGGGCTCATGCATGGCTGTATTCCTAGCTAAATGGAGAAGACAAGGAACACTTCTTGCAGGAACTAAAAACCATGCAAGATAACAAAGGCAAATAGCCCACTCTCCAAGCAATGCAGGTAACAAATCCTTAGAGGTGTCATCTCCTCTAAGAAGCCCATAGACTGGCCAGTTCTGGTTTGAGAGACCTAAGATGATAAAGGACAGGAAGCTGTATAAACCATCCAGCAGCCCTGACCAGAGGGAAGGGGATACCACCTGGACACAGGTATGCAGCTGACCAGTATAAGCAGCCCCTGCAGGAGGACTTAAAAAGTATCATAGACCTGGAAGGTGTCTATGTGGAAGGAAGATGGATGCCCATGAGAAAGGCCCATATCCAAGTTATTAATTGCTTTAAGACATGTTCCCTCCCAAACACTTTTGTCCTGAATTAACAATATTTTGCTTTCCTAAAGCTGACTGGTCTCAGTAACCCTGAGCCCCTGAGAGAACAGTCCAGCCTGCTAAAGCAATGGCTGCAATATGAGCCCTCTTCTGGTGCTATAACGGCAAGACTGTCATTCTCCCTCTCCACAGCTTTTCTTCATACCTACTGAAAGTGTCATTCACTTCCACACCCCCCCACCCCTCCACAAGGTTTTCTGGCAGTTCCTTTTGCAAAGCTCAGATGCAGGGCAGGCAGTCCCCCCCCGGCGCGCACAAGAAGAATACAGCAAAAAAATGACAACATTTAAAGTGGCTCCTGGTACAATGGGAAAAGAATCAGCTCCAGCAATCCCTTGACAAGCTAACATCAGAGTCCCTTACAGCGCTCATCATTCCCCTTGATGTAAAAGGCCAGACTCTGACTCGTCTATCAGCCAGAGATGAAAACGGGTTGAAATTATGGTTCGCCCGAATCCACCTCATATCCCAATCTGAGAGAAAGTAGTATTACATACCGACAATCAGGCAGATGTTTTGGCAGACCGATTCCAGCTGTGCTGTCTGCTAAAGAGCCAAGTGCATATTTTCAGTGCAAGGATGCAGTTTATGTTGGCAATAATTCTTTCTAAAGAGGTCTTTACAAGTAATTAGCAAGTCATTTGTTACACTATTAATGACCCAAGCTTTTACCTTATCCTATTAACTACTAAACATAGTTATCCATTAATAATATTCAGCACCTCTGGGGTGGTTTTGCAATAAAGCCCATTTGCAGAGCAGAGCCAGACATCCAATGTATAGAACAGCATTTGAAACCTCCCTAGCAGCTTCCAGCTAAGGATCAAAAGAGCATTTTACCAATAGCATCTGGCATACCAGATTCTTAGCACACCCATTCCACAGCTGGGGAAACTGAGACACAAGGATGTGCCAAGGTCACCCAGCACGGCCAGTCAAGTCTCTGTCGTGCTGATGCAACCAGACCAGGTAACTTACTCTGTCTGACCCACAGGCAGGAAACCTGGTTCCCTACTCCTCAGCTGCTGGACAGAGCCTGCCAGGATTGCTGAAAATAAGGAACTCCTCTGGAGCCCTGAGGAGGGCTTGCCCCAGACGGCTCCCAAAGCAAACTCCCTGCTGGAGCTGAAAACAACAGTTGCAAAAATATTTGTGCATAGCCCTGGTAGGTGTCTCTAGGAGCGCAGTGAGCTCTGTGGGTACAGGGGGATTAACACCCCATTACAAGGGTGGGGGAAAATCCAAAAAAATAAAATAAAAATAAAAAAAATCAGTGGAGCGTGGCTTGCTAAGCCTCCACAGTCAGGTCATGCCCTGCACCTAGCACCTGCAGCTCAAGTGATTATCACAGAAAGAATTGTTTTAAACCTCTGAAACCGGCCTGCACCTGCTGAATTTGTCCTCAGCGCCCAGCTCTCAAAGACCCTCTGCTGTAAGAGCTGGAACCCGTTCTTTCCCACGCCGGGCAACCGAGGCACACGGCTGGCAGGAGCCATGCACAGCAGCTCGGGATTATGAAGCAGGACTGAGCGTGGAGAGCGTGCATTTTATACAGGGTGGGGAGTTGCATGGCAGATACAGCAGGCGCACAAGACACTCGCTCTAGAGCTGTGTGGGACTATCACACACACACTCTCACTCTAGAGCTGTATGTGACTATCACACACACACATCCATCCAGGAAGAGCACACACCAACTGCTGAAACTTCCTGAGCCTGACGAAGGGTTTTTGAACCCGAAAGCTTGCTTAATAAATATTCTCCAACTATTTGGGTTGGTCTAATAAAAGATATCAAATTCCCCCAAGGAACCTTGCCTGCCTATATCCTTAGACCAACACGGCTACAACCTAAACCCCCCCATCACACACACACACACAAACACCCCCCGCCCTAGAGCTGTGTGTGACTATCACACACACACACACACACACACACACACACTGTGGAGCTGCTGTGCAGACCCGCCCCCCGCCCAGGTGAGTCGGCAACTCGGCGCGCGGTGGAAGCCCGGGTGCCCCAGGGCAGGGGCGGGTGGGGGTCGCTCCCTCCTCGCCCCGGGCAGCCCCCCCGGCGCGCGGCTCTTACCGGATTTGGGGGGGTATCTGTAGACGGAATTAGCCGGCACGTCCAGCTCCTCCACCCCGGCCTGCTGCCGGCTGGCCAGCTCCCCCATGGCTG